GTATAGTTTGAACTTCTCATACTCATCTTTATAGGCAAACCTGTACAATGGAGAAACAGGCAAGAGTCAGACAAATCACATGACGCATGACTCATTAACATGACTGCATTTCATGACACCACATTGTTTAAAGATGATGATCACAAGTTAAGGCTATTGTGGTGTTAGAATTTTTCAGAACATTTTAATCAAATAGGACTGTTCAGAGAACTTACTTGGACTGCTTGTTAAGGAGTGTTACGTTAACATTTCCAAGAACAAGACTGAGGTATAACCTGAAACAAGAACAGAGTTAGCATCAGCATATTTCATGTTATCATCAAGTGCTTGCAGAATCATTGTATGTGTTTGAACAAGGTAAATTACAAATCCACACACCACTATCAATTATTATTGAAATATATACCACACCTTTAGTCTACAGTATTTTAAGGTCACTGAATTAGTAACAGGCAAATACAGAGCTGTATGACCTGCTTTGAATTGTAAATGCTTTTAATGTGTATTTTAAATATCTCTCATTTGCATTACTCGTTTTTCTTTGGCAAGAAGGCCTCCATCTCAAAAAAGACGTTTGATCTTTCCTTTATGGAATCTTGGATCTCGTCTATTTTATTTACATCGTCTGAACTCGCTACCGCTCTGCATCTACGAAAAAAATTAATGAATATAAGATATAGATCAACAACATTTATTTTTAACCAAAGCATATATAACTCATAATAACTGACTCCTGCAGGGATTCGTTGAGATCCTTTAACTTTTTCCTCTGCCGTGCAATAGAAGAAGAACAGCTGTCCTGCAGTTTCGAAACCTCCTCCAGCTTTTGTTTGTAAAGTCGATGTGTCTCCTGTGCAACAAATATAGACATTAGAAATTTGCAATTGGTCAAAGACGTGAATATAGCAATATCATGAGGAACCGTCATTTTGATATTTTTGGTGTATTTAAAGTCAAAAAAGTTGGTTTAGGATTAAATTGCTAAGCAGCTAGTGATTAAAGCTGAAGCCTAACTATACAACCAGCTATTCATAGCAATACTTCGAAATATTTGTAAATAAAACAATTATAATGTATATAAAAACATTTAAAGATAGAAGAGTAAGGTCTCATAGTTCAGAGCTGTCCTGCTATCTGATTAGCACTAGAGAAAGAAAGAATCCACACCTGAACTTGTTGATAGTCTTTTTCCAGATCCTCCCATTCTTGTAAACATTCGTTTAAGCCAGTCGGGTTAAATAACATTTCCAGAGAGTGTATTTGATGAAAGGTTCCCAGATAAGAGTGAAGAGAATAACGGTCTGTTCTACCGTTGTCGGAGCGCCTCGCTATCTTTGACACACACATCTGTCATCTGAACGCAGTTTCACAACAAGCGTAGCCAATCAGAGACGGACCTCGCGTCATAATGAAACCCAGTCTCAGCACAGTTGATGCTAACCCGCCAAACTGCTGCGCTCTATCGAGCGCCCTACCCCTCCCTTAATCTGACCAATGAGCGCTTTCAAAACAAGACAGCTACGTCAGAGACGCTATAGTCTACTCCAGAGCCATGGAAAGAGAGAGTTGCGTCAACGGAAGTCCAAAACGCTCGATCGTCACGTGATTCACGTAGACCTCAAATAGTTCCAGGAAGTTCATAGCGGGCAATTGAAATATATTGAGTTGGAGAGACAGAACTGTGATTTTTGGTAATTAGTAGACAATAAAATAATTTATTTACATTATTTACAAAATAATGTATACGTAGTATATACATATATATAGATGTAGTTATATTAGTGTTGTTTTTAAAAGATAAAATCCTCTAATATTTGAGGATTAATGTGGTCAGCTATCCGTACCTGCCTTGTTAACATATTTTACCATGGTAAAAGTCCGTGTTTGCTATATAAACGACATCGTGGTCTTCTGCCAAGGTAACTTCAGCCTCTCTATATAAATATAATTATATGTGTGTGTGTGTTCTTACAACTTGCTTGTTAGTCAAGTTCAATCACAAATATACCTGTTCATTGTCGTTTTACTAATCTCATGGTAAATGTTAAGTTTGTTGTCTTAGAAAATTCGTTCCAAATAAATGAAGATATTTTATTAAGTGAAACCTAATCTTGTTCAATGTGTTTGATTCTTGTGCACCCCTACGATCCGCCATTGCTGTAAAAAAAAAACTGGTCCATTGGAGTGAATGGAGTTGTCACAACTCTCTCTCTCTACAGCTCTGGTCTACTCTACTGACTTCCCACAGACGCCCATAGAGCCAAATATACCAACTTTGAATAACCAGAGTTCAGTGTCAATGTTGAAATTGTAGACAGAACCTCTTATTAGGTCATAGGAATAATGGATTGGCAGAAAATTTTAAAAAGGTTTATTAAAATTACAGCATTCTTATTATACACAGTATATGTGTTAAAGCAACATATACAGTAAAGTGGAAGAAAATGCAGAGTAGTCGTCCTCCTGTCTTATGACATAACCTGCTATTTTTAGTGGCATATATTATCTCAGACAATTATTTTGATGTTTTAAACCCTATTTTAGGTAACACTTTACAATAAGGTTCATTATTTAACTACTTTAATTAACATGAACTAAGCATGAACAATACTTCTACAGCATTTATTATTCTTAGTTAACGTCAACACTTACTAATGCATTATTAAAATCAAAAGTTGTGCTTGATAACATTAGTTATTGCACTGTGAATTAACATTAACTAACAATGAATTTTCATTAACATTAACAAAGATTAATAAACACTGTAATAAATGTATTGTTCATTGTTTGTTCATGTTCGTGAATACATTAACTAACACTAACTAATGGAACCTTATTGTAAAGTGTTACCCTATTTTGTACATTCTAATATTGTCTAGTGTGTTTACGGGAAGTAGTTTATTTCTAGTTTTTTAAAATATAATTTTTAATTAATATATTAATATTAAATAATCTATTATTCTGTATCATCAGTGACTGTAGAAAATCATTGAATATGAATGTGCACATGATGTTTCTGTTAAATTTGGTTATTGTCAGTATTTGGGTTCAGATATATCTGTCACTCTCTTCCCAAGAGTCTGACGTTCCCAGTCAGAAAGTTGCTGTACAAATCCTCGATTTGGCCTCATGTTGGCTTTGCACTGCTGAATATGATTCCATGCCTCCTAAAATATTCAGAAATGACAGGTGACAAATATTTTTAAAAAGCATCTGTCAACAACATCAATGCAAACTGCAAATGCAAAAGTAAAAACATTACCTTTAGTGTGTATTTGAGGTGATGCATAAGATATGCCATTGTTACAGCACTGCATCGGCTTACTCCAAGAGTAGAAAATATCAGAACAGAAGAAGAAGTATTGAGATGTGAACCTGAAATGTTTAAAAGACCCACAATAATAATTGAACATCAGATTTTCTTTCTTTCTTTTGAGTTATTGTTCATCCACTGGACAAAAAAATCTCCTAGTACTTACCAATAAAAACGCACATTCTCTCAAATGAAACGATCAAATCTGCCTCTGCAGAATCTGCAATTAGGATGTGTAAGACAGTGCAGTTTGCCTTTTTAAACCTAGTTTGCAAAGTTCAGTTCATAGATTAATTTGGGTTTTCAGGCCATGATAAGAATGGATTTTTTTTTTTTTTTAAATACTATGATTACATACAATATATGAATATATATGAGATGGTGGGTTTGGCTCACACTAGACTGCATTCATCAGAGACATTGACAAGTGCATTCATCTTCAGATCTTTAAGGATTTGAAGGTTTGTGGCCTGCCTGTAATCACCCATGTAAAGTTTGCCTGGCAAGATTTCCACAGGATAGGGATTCAAGCTCTCCACTTCCTATGAATATATGTATTTATGATCATTAAATATATTTATAAACAGCAAAAAATGCTTAATTTATGATCTATTTAGAATAATACCCTAATATTGTAAAGAATCTTTTGCGTTCTTAGGAAAGGGTAGAGTGCAGAAAACTTCTCATAGCCTCCACTAAGAATCTGAACTGGAAATTGGCTCGCTTTTTCTATGCTGACTGCACAGTCTATAGCTGGACCTATAAGAAAAACATACAGTTAGGAGGTTTTCAGAGGTGTTTTCAGAGTTCAAAATGTTAGAAAAGGTGGTGTCTTACCTGAATCTGACAGAGAATGTGTACTACTGTCATAAACAATGATATACTTCATACTTTCAACCTCAACATCCAAGGGCATAATAAACTTCCCATCAGAATCCTTTGAAAAGCAAGAAAAGCCATTGAAAAGTGATGTTTTTATATTCTACAATGTTGCAAAACAGGAATTAAAAACCATAAACTTTAGGGGAGAAAAAAACATGAAATTGAAACATACCCATTTTGCAATTCTGGCAGTAATGATGTAGCTGAAGTTATATGATTCTGCTGCACAGGCATCTGAAAAATAGGATTATTGTTACAATTATACTTTCACTTTCACTTGTCGGTATTTGAATTAGTACAGTAAATGTACAGCCAGGGATTCAGTTCTAAGGAATAACTTCTTAATTCTTACCAATCAGACAAAGATAGTTGCTCTCTGCAAGCCTTGGTAGATGAGTGTATTGATTTAGGATGTTGTACAGTTCTGATGCCTCACAGAGAACCTTTCCAGCCATTAGTTACAGTTTGAGCACATAAAATGTGGCTGTCTGTATGTTTCTTAACAAAAAAATGTGTTTGACTAAAAATTACAAGTTGGCGCGTCTTGACTTGATACTTATTTTACTTGGCGTTTTGAAATATTACTGCTCCGAAATGTTTCTTAAACCAAACTATACTGATTTATTGTTATTGCTTACGCTGAAATAACACGCTCTACTGCTCACTGATGATTGTTTACGCTCCTACTATGGTAACAGACAAACCGCTGCAGTGATTGACTCAAACCCTTTCCGTCTTCCTTAACCAATCAAAAGTTAAAACCCGTCCCACCGCGCTTCAGCTGCGCTCCTATTGGAGGGTAAACAATAAGGAACTATTTTCAAAATCAGGCTTACAGCTGTCAGCAGCTGCGGATATGCCTGGATTCAGGGTATGTTGTTACTATTAGCTACTTAAATCAATAAATAATGAATAATTAAACGATTTGTAATTCCTTTCCAGGGCCTCGGCGGTGCCTTTCTGCGGCGGAGGAAGAGAAATGGCAGCAGTCGACGCTGGGCCATAAAGAGCAAGAAGCCACTTGGGACTCCTGCCATACCAACGGCCCCTGTGTGAGCAACTGTATCATTTTTATATCCACAAAAACAATGCCTGTAAATACAGTGCTTTCATAAACACTTACAGTATAGTTTAGGATTGTTGTACCACATATCATGTACATGTCATGTATATACTTATGTGTAAATATCAAAGTATATATATATACTTTGATATACTAGATATTTACATATAATCATACTAGATATTTACATATAATCCACAAGACAAAATAATAACTTCATTTGCTGTAAAAATGTAAGTTATGCAGTATTTAAAAAAAGCATGAACACTTTTTATCCGTATTTTGAAGACTTAAAGGGATTCTTGACCCAAAATGACAATTCTTTCATCATTTACTCACCCTCGTGTTGTTCCAAATCTGTATGACTTTCTTCTGTAAAACAGAAAAGAAGATATTTGAAGAATAATGTTGGTGACCAAACCGTTTTGGTGCCCATTGACATCCATTGTATTATAAATTGAGGCATTTCTCAAAATATGGGTAAACTATCCCTTTAAGACTTTGAAAATAAAAGGCTTATGAGCTAACTGTATATCTACTATATATATACTTAACTTTACTTTCTGGTAATGCTTTCACCCAGTCCAAACAACAAAACAAAGGTGGACACTATGGAGGAGACGAGTGTTCAAACCACTAAACAGCTGTCTTCAACACTAAGTATTGGAGCTCTGTTTTTTGCATTTGGAAGTGTTGTGCAAAAATGCGGAAAGACAATTAATCAAGTAAGTTTTTCTTTTTTTATTAGAGTTCAAAAGAGAAAGAGCTTTCCAATGTCTGACCAGCTTATTTTTTAGACCTGTTTTGGACTCCTGAATGTCTTCTTTTTCTGGAGAGGCTATTCCGAAAGAGTGGAGTCCCTTCACCTAAAAGTAGAGGAGCTGCAAAGGGAAATAGCACTATTGCATTCCACTTTGAAGGTTAGAACATTTCAGCTGTACTGAAAAGAATGTTCTTTAATTATTTTCAAAATTCCAGTGCTTGTAAAGTGTATAAAATATTACTTGATAGCTGTATCGAGAAGCCAAGACTGCAGGCGGTCAATGTGACATGCCTGATGGTGTTCAGCACTCAACACCTCCGCCTGTCTCCCTTCCACCTCCTCTTCCTCCTCCTCAAATTCTGTTGACACTTGCTGCTCCGAAAGTGGCCTCAATTCCCCTAAAAACTGCTCAAACTACCTCTGTGAAGGTAAAAGTTTATTTTTCAATTCACTTCACTTTGCTTGTTGAGAAGACAAGTTATGAAGGTTTGCACTATTTTAGGTTTTGCACTAATTTTCCTCCTGTCCCCTAATAGGAGAAGCAAAATGGCCCTGTTGCTTTGACTCTTCGAGATCTTCAAGCAGTACGACTAAGAAAAGTGATTGTAGGCCAAAAAACTCAGGTGAGTGACAGATTGTGTCCTCAACTTTTCCAATGAATCCTGCATTGAGTCGATATTTATGATGGCATATTTGTTCACAGGTGTCTCCAGAGAGAAAAAGATCACCACTGGTCACACTCGCAGACTTGCAGAAAGTCAGTTTGCGACGCTCTAATTCTGACCTCCCCTTAAAGTCTAGATCAAGCCTTGGCAGGTGAATTTCGGCATAAATAAATGTAGTTTTTTTGCTTTAAAGCAATACATTCACATTCATGCTACATCATTTGCGATCTTCTCTGTAGGACTGTCTGTAGGACACCAACCAAAAATCCCATGAATCTTCGGGTACAGCTTCGAAAAGTAAACTTAATGAGGCAAGATCACTTTTACTTTGTATTGTTGGAATCAGAGCCAAGACATGCCTAAAACTACAGACATCACATCTAGCTAAATACTTCTCATTTGCTGTATTCTTAGGAGTCCTGGTGGCACACCGCTGTTTAACAAAGAGAATGCTGTGATGGATTCAAGCCTGGATCCAAGCATGACCAGAGAGGGTTAGGAAACACGTACCTGGTATGTAAACAGCTTTATCCCAAAATGAATCACAGAATTTATTATTTTAAGGTTCTCTTTGAGACCGCTAGTTTCATTTTATTGAAAGATCATTTTATTTAACAAATAAATCATGAATTTATGGCCAGAAAATTATTTTTCATTCTTTTTCATTCTTTACAGAGTGCTTTAACAAAAGAACTATCACCACTCAAGACTGTCTAAACAAAGATAATTACTGTTTGTTATTGCACATTGTGTTTTGCATGGCCAGTCGTGTGTGTGTACAATAAAAAAAGCTCCTAAGGACAGGCACAAATGCATCTCTCCCAGCAGTCCATTTGCTCTCAAAACTGCCTTGTTGGTCAAATAGTGACAGCTTCGCCATCCAGAGGAGCTTGTTATTGGGATATGGACATTACGAGCGGCTGCCGATCATCAGTCTTTCTGGCATTTGGGTCAATCACTACCAATTAGAGCGCACTCGTTTTGATTGAAAACTTTTTTAATGCAGGCTGTAAACCGAGTGTTAATAGAGCATTGCTAATGATGATTTTCTGATGCATGTCCCACCTAATGCTAATAGTCGTCTTCATTAGTGCGGTCTGTAGGCAGGTTATTAGCGATAGTATGACAACTGTTTGGTATTGAAAAATGGCATCACACTCAAACATTTCTATGATAACGTGGCCCATATGTTTATCAACCTGAAAACAAGAAACGTTATCTTTGTCTGAGCTCGGGGGAGTTCGTTTGGGGCCAATTCATCAATCACAGATGGGATCTGCAACTTGTGGAAATGGATCATTTAATAAACGTACACCGTATCTGTTTTGATCAATGTTATTTATTTAGTGTTGGTTTTATCTCAGCAGAAGGAACCTTGCCTTGGATACCTTAAAGGGGCTATAGCATTTGCTTTGCTCTTTTGAAATAGTGTTCATTGAAATACATAGACAATCTCTAAACCTGGTTACTACTCATGTAATGACCACAGAATGACTAACTTTGCATATGAAATAAGGAAGAATTAAAGGTACAGTATTCAAAACAGCTTGTTAAATTGTAATGGCCAGAGTAAGAGCAGAAATGGTCATGAAAAATTAATTTTGGGCTGTACTGCTTTTTTGTTTGTTTAATCATGTGAAATGCAATCACAAATATTTAAGTCACACTCTACAAACAAATGTTTTGGTTAGAGTTAGGGTTAGAAAAAATAAATATATAAAAATGTGTGTGTGTGTGTGTGTGTGTACTGGTTTATATATCCTGGTGGGGACTTAAACCTGACTACACACAGACTCATGGGGACTCGTGTCATGGTGGGGACCTAAATTGAGGTCTCCACGGGTAAACAAGCTAATAAATCACACAGAATTAAGTTTTTTGAAAATCTAAAAATGCAGAAAGTTTCCTGTGAGGGGTAGGGTTGGTGTAGGGCAATAGAATATACGGTCTGTACAGTAGAAAAACCATTACGCCTATGGAGAGTCCCCACAAGGATAGCTGACCAGACATGTGTGTGTGTGTGTGTGTGTTTTGCCTTATTTTTATATGTATACTGTGACTGTGCTAATAGCTTTGGTTCTCCTAATGTCATGTTACTATAGTAACTATTTTAGTGACAGGACTGTATTTGATGTTACTTGCTGCTATGTTATTTTATGTACTTGTTGCATGTGAAGTGTGCTTCTTGCTCCTTTTATATCAGAAGATCCCGCTTTTTAAGACATGCTAATAACAAATGCAGACTGTATGAAAATTAAATGCACATCAGCATGTGGTTAATATGGTTAATTGTATAATTAGTAGAACTAAATAACTGAACATGCAGTTCAGTGTCACTGTTACTGAATATGACTGGAATGTGCAAACTAACTCCGCTGTAAAATATAGTACTTGATACTTTGTTGAAGTCTGTACAGGGGTGAGACAAGTCAGTTATTGGTCTATAAATTCAATAATCCATTGATAGCTTAGGTGTGTGGTAAAACGTGAAGCACAGATAATAACTAGTCTTGTTATTGTGAGACTCAGGATGTGTTTTATTTCCATGTTTTACTGTATGTTTACTTGTGGGCTTGAGGTGTAACACCCAATTAAATGTTACCGTGTCTTAATGTTTTATTTTAAGGGTCTTTTGCAATATTTGGCTAAAACCACTTTTATTTGTATGTAAAAACAATTGCAATGAATAACAAACTTTTAATAAATATTGGATCTACAGAAAATGTGTAAGTGTTTTTTAATTTCCAGTACAAATGAGTGCATTTAGATGAAGACAAAATAAATGTTCGATTTCTGGCTTAGTATTTAATATTTGGCATAGTATACATTATTTATATACAATTAAAGTATTTATTAATATATATGAATTATTATTTCTATTTAGCTTTTAATTTTTAGTCATTGTAACTTCAGCTTAAACTGGCAGCATTTCTAATTTTCCTTTAATATTTTATCTAATAATTGTATTTTATTTGATTTATTTTACTATTATTTAAATTCTATTATAGTATTCACCAATATTTGGAATTGGCATTTATTCCTATATTTTGTTTTCATCCTAATTTTAGATGCAGTTACTTTATGTGTTTTTTTTTTTTTTTTAATATTTCTATTTAGCTTTACGTTTTAGTAATTTGAATATTTCAACCTAATCTTATTTTAGTTTGCTGCTAAGGCAACAATTCAAATTTCCCTTTAAGTTTTATCTAATATTCATATTTTATTTTATTTTAATTACCGAAAACGATTTTTTTGAACAGTTTTAGGTTTGGTGAACAATAACAACACCGCAGACTTATAAGACTATTACTATTTACATATGACATTTTCCATGCTTTTTGTCCGGACATTAACTTGCAGATTAATGTATCCACCCGGACTCTTCTTTTGCGCTCGCAGAAATGCGTTCATCAAAGCCCCGCCCATTTGTTTCTGTCCAGCAAAAATGGCGGTTCCCATGAATATCAGAGCTCTGTTACAGTCAGAAATAATCGAAGACACCGTGGACAAAGATGAGGGTATTTGCGTATTGGGCATATTTGGGAAAAGCGCAATGCAACCGGGATCAGCTAAAGACTCTCTCATAAACACCTTAGCAGATAAACACGTCTTCTCTCTCTTTGGGAGCGACGACACTGACAATCCGGGTGGGGGAACATCGATTCATGCGTATTATAATCAGGAGAACCGCGTGCTGTATCTCGTATTAACATCTGTTTTTGACAACCGCCAGCTTATTCGCGCGTGCGAGTCATTGACGGCGGGTTTGGGTCATGCAGAAGCGCATGAGTTTTGGAAAGCAGCAGAGAAGGATCACTGTTTGCAGCTGCTGTATCTCTTCTCGCTGTGCCATATTCTTTTGCTGGTTCATCCCACATGTTCGTTCGACGTCACTTACGATAGAATGTTCCGCGCTTTGGACGCGCTACGTCAGAAAGCGCTTCCACTGCTGCGCGCTGCGATTAAAGATTCGCCAGTATCTAAAGAATGGAAGTTAAACTGTCGGCCGTGCCCTCCACGTCTGCTGTTCGTGTTCCAGATGAACGGAGCGCTCAGAGTGGGCTCCTCTGGCACGGGTGGGAATGGGACTGATGGCTCTGGAGGGGATAAACCCAAAAAACACTCCCCTAGAAGGCGACTGCAGCATGCTCTGGAAGATCAGATATATCGGATATTCAGGAAAAGTCGTGTATTGACCAACCAAAGTAGTAATTGTCTCTTTACAGTTCCTGCCAACCAAGCTTTTGTATATGTAGTGCCAGGACCAGATGAGGACCCCATCGGCTCTCTTCTGGGGCACCTGCGGTCCAATTGCGTCCTGCGAGAAAGTGAAGGCAGCACGCCTGTGCCCAGGCAAAGGCGGTACCAACAGATGAGGTACTCTAATAGACAGCCCTCTTTCAATGTAGAAAGCAGTCTTTCCTCAGGAGGGCAGCTGGTGGACTGCACTTTAAAAGAGTTTCTTTGGCAGCACGTCGAACTCGTATTGACCAAGAAAGGTTTTGATGACAGTGTAGGTCGCAATCCGCAGCCATCACACTTCGAATTGCCTACTTATTCCAAATGGTTGCATGTTGCGCACAGACTTTATCAGGTCATGATGGAGAACAGTGAGGATGACGCAGCCGAGATTTCCCTCAAGGTGCAGGGTCAGCTCAAAGTGCTGGAGGGGTTCCTTGACGCAGATGCCAAGTTCTCGGAAAACAGGTGTCAGAAAGCCTTGCCACTGGCTCACAGTGCGTACCAGTCAAACCTTCCCCATAATTACACCACCACAGTGCACAAGAATCAACTGGCGCAGGCACTGCGAGTGTACAGCCAGCATGCGAGGGGAGTCGCCTTTCAAAGATGCGCCTTACAGCTCCACGAGGATTGCTACAAGTTCTGGAGTAATGGCCATCAGCTCTGCGAGGAGCGCAGCCTTACGGATCAGCACTGCGTACACAAGTTTCATCTGCTGCCAAAACCAGGTAAAGATCCATGTTTTAAAAGATCTATACAGATCCATTTTTTCTGTGTGAAGAGCAAATTTTTTTTTTTCATGGTATATTGACGAAAAATTTACTTCTTTCTAATTACCTCTGTTTTTTCTTCAAATTTCAGGAGAGAAACCAGAAATGGACCACAACCCGCCTATTCTATACCACAATAGCAGGGGTCGCTCTACAGGTTCCTGTAACTGTGGTAGGAAGCAGTCTCCAAGAGAAGATCCATTTGACATCCAGGCTGCCAACTATGACTTCTATCAAGTCAGTAGCTTGAAGGTTTTTTTCCACCATAAATATTCACTACACAAGCTTTAAATCTGTTCTTCGTCATTCTGTCTTTCATTCTCAGATGCTTGAGGAGAAATGCTGTGGAAAGTTGGACAGGATCAATTTCCCAGTGTTCCAAGCCAGCACACCCGACCCTGCTCCTGCCAGTGATGAGGTGCCCAGACCTGGAGAGGTTCCTCCATCAGGGGAAGCTGATCGTCTAAAGGAGAAAGAGACTAGCACTCACACACCTGGTGATAGCACAAGTTTGAGTCTTGCTCTTAGCTTGGGCCAGTCAACTGACAGCCTTGGAACATATGGTGATGGAGCAGAAGGACAAGAGAAGAGGCCAAGCTTGGTGGACAGACAGCCCTCCACAGTGGAGTATCTCCCCGGGATGCTTCATTCTGGATGCCCGAAGGGACTGTTGCCCAAGTTCTCGAGTTGGTCTGTTGTTAAACTCGGTCCAGCTAAGGCCTACAACAGCCTCACTGGTTTAGAGCAACCTGGATTCCTCCCGGGCTCCGCTTTCCTCTTGCCCTGGGATGTTGTCATTCGGAGCCGATCAGAGGAAGATGTAGGATCGCTTGAGCCTCTGGACGGAGGACCAGCCTCCTGGCCAGCACCGAATAAAGCATCCGCTGGAAAGCGAGGCAGCGCTGGAGGAATCGGACGAGGGCGTAGACGGGATGATGTAGCTCGTGCTTTTGTTGGTTTTGAGTATGAGGACAGCAGAGGGCGCCGCTTCTTTAGTTCTGGCCCTGATAAAGTAGTCAAAGTGCTTGGGCAAGGCGGACCAAAGGAACCTGCAACCAGATGCTTGAATTCTGATATGCCTTTATACATTCCCTCTCCAGCTCAAGGACGAGGGATCAAGCCACACTATGCTCAGCTGGCTCGTCTTTTTGTCGTTGTCCCTGATGCTCCTCTTGAGATTGTCCTAAACCCACAGGTAAAATATGTTAAAAAGTGCAACATCAGTCAATTTTTATCTCAAACTGAAGTATTCACAATGATTACTACCCACATTTTCTCCATTAAAGTATACTGTTCTGTGCTTCTCTTCTATCCTAGGTCCAGCCAGGTCCCCCTCCCTGTCCTATCTTCCATCCGGAGCAGCCTGAGGTGGTGCTGCCCCCTGATGGACTCTGGGTGCTACGCTTCCCTTATGCCTACGTGACAGATCGTGGACCATGCTACCCTCCGAAGGAGAACCAGCCACTGGCCAACTTCAGGGTGCTGAGAGGCATTCTGCGTGCCAACACGACTAGTTCAACTCCACAGTAACAAAAAACACTCTGCACTTAAAAGCACTGTTGAGATATCTGTAGGACAAGGATATTAAGCATCATTTTGGTGTCACCATGCTTCTTTTCATTTTCTGTGCCGGTTCTTTTTTTAATCCAAATTCTAGAAATAATTGTGGCTGTAAATACAAGCAATCAAATTAAGGAATGTTGTGTTTATGGTAAATAAATACCTGCATTGAGAAAAACTGACAGTGAAAAATGTCATTATAAAACTATAATATTTTAAACTGAATTTACTTTTTAAATGTTTTAAATGTGTATCCAAAATAGTGTCCACTCTGGATTTTCTGTTTGCTGTTGACTTTTTGAGGTTGATGTTATAAATTATTTTACCTGAGTAAAATAAAATTAAATCTCATAAAAAGCTTAAACACTTGTTCATTAGAAAGAATGTAAAAATATCAATCTATTATTGTAGAGGTTTTAGATATCAGTCTATTATGGTTTGTATTATGTTTTTTACATAAAATAGCTCGTAAAAACGACACAGAGAGGCGCTATTTGATTATCTGATCTGTCTAAAGTAATTATGAATTGGTACATCTTTGGCATTCTCAAGTGAAAAAATACAGAGTGACAACTGTAATATCTTATAGGTACTTAATATTTTCTAAGTTTAAAGTCATTTAAGACTTGCTTTCGCTTTTAGTTTTATTACTTATCCAACTGGCACGTCACAAAGATAACAAATGTTTTTTTTTTTGCCTGCATATCCTCTGCGCTCGCTCATTGGTCCGTCCACTTTTTAGGTTGGCCAATCAGCGTATTGTTGCTAGGCCGTTTTGTCTCGTCTATTTGCTGGCCTGGCTGTCAATCAAATTGGGAGCTTGTATGGCGAGGCCCGATGCGCAACTGGGCTGTGTTTACAGAGCGCTGCTCTCGAGGCGCGTGGCTGCTGAAGATACCTGCAAACTTTGTGTTGTGAGGAATGATCGCCTGCTGTTTTGCATGAAGTTGCAGTTTTAAAGAGGGAGACAGCTCGACCAGCGCGATACCTTTCCATTCTAAGGTAAGATCAGTCCAATTATAATGCTTTTAGTGTCACCTTTTATAGGAAGTTCGTCTTCTTAAAACATTACGTTTGTTATTTATTATCTTGCATTATATGACAGCACACTAAAAATTAACCTAGTAAATTCTGAGAATTTATATTTTAGTTGTAGATTGGATCTCAGTGCCAGTGATAGATGCTAATCTGGATTTAAAACGTTATATATACAGAATGCATCATTGCATAGTTAAAATGTAAACAATTATAACTGTTCCGAAAGTGTTGCTTTAAATCTAGACTATTATAGAATTATATGCCACTAACACACTACCAGCAAATATTGGTACATTAAGAGAAGGAAAAAAAAAACTTTATGCACGAGTCATTGGCCATGAACACAAATTGTATGTTGTCAGGATGTTTTTTATGAATTTAACTATAATTAAAAAAAATATACAAGTGCATTTATATTTCGCAAATTAAAGAAATCTTTTAATTTTCAAATATATGCTGTTTTGCATGGAAAAGCATGAAAATTGACTTACAAAAAATAGTGAGAAAGCTTTCATGCTACTCCTATTGCATAATAAACTATTTAATTAACATTACCATTGCAAGCAGCTCCACAAGATCATTGCTTATTGTGCATGTTATGTTATTCTGTACTTGTATAAATACACTTACATTGTTGCTTATTTTTATGAAACATGCTATGCATAAGCAAGTGTTCTCAGAGGGCTAGATCACTTAAATGAAAGTGTGGCTATTTAATATTTTGCAGTATTTATATTGTGTACTGTTTTGTTATCACGAGGCAAGCGAGTGACACAGGCTTGTTGTCATTTTAAAGCTGGCTTTTCTGAATTGGTTTAGCTGTTGGTGTTTTCAAGGATGTGATTGCCAGAGGTGCTGAGCTGGTGCTGCCATCTGCACTCTCAGTTTGGTGGTATCTACTATGGCCTACATAGAAGCTGGTTCACTGATACCCACACAAACTTGTCTGACCTGGATCCATCGCACTGTCTCTCCATCTGACCATCTGTTTCCAACACCTGCCTTAATTAGCTTTGCACATTCATGGGTATTTCTGTCGCTTTATGCTGTTAGAATATGGACTGAGCTTGAGAGGTTATTCTTAAGGATGAATGCACAAAGTGTGCCTTTTCAAAGCCGGTATATTAATTTAGAGGTAATTTGAGAATTTTTTTTCTGTTTTTGTTTTTTTTTCGTTCAGGTTTTTTTTTTTCAGGGTTGTATTTTCTCTGGACTTGGCTCTCAAATGCAGTTTGCATGTTAAAATTATGCAATTATAATTTAAAATATTAAAATGTTATTTTTAGTGTGCATTTACTAATCAGTATGGATCCTTTTAAAGAGCCCCTTGTATTTGTGTATTATTGCAATTATGTTAACAGGGACACTGTAAAATAAAGTGTTAATCCATCAGATGTATAATCGACAATTTAGCTACATAGAGCTAAATATCACAGCTTATGTGTGTACGCAGCAGGGGCTTTTTAATTTGTGCTGACAGATTTCAAAGGACAGCAAAAAAAGTTGCTATTATGGGAGCTGCCTGCTGTGTATTATGTGAGGGACTGGGGGGAATGAGGGGGGATTCGCCACCTGTTCGGGGGTCCTTGTCTGTTTAGATGCCCTCTTACTGCTTAAAATGCTCGAGACCTTTTATTAGGCTCTAGTTTAAACAAGCAAAACAAATAAAGCCATTTATTAAAAGCAGATATTGTGCTGATGTTGTGATATGTTTTTGTTACATAACAGGCATTTTATTGAAAACGGGTTTATCTGATTTGTGTTAGTGTAATACTTTGGGACGGAGATGATATTGATTTACAATATAATGCTCTTGAATACAGCCAATGTGTGTTCCTGAGTTTATTAGGGAAACCTTAGCTAGTTTTCTTGATATATGCATACATAAACAAGAAAGGAAACAAAAAAAACTCCATTGTCTCAAGGATTACCTATCTTTAGAATTATTCAGGGTCTAACCACCATAGACATTAAAGGAATAGTTCACCCAAAAAAAAAAAAATTAATGAAAATTTACTCCCCCCCTCAGACCATCTAAGATTTAGATTAGTTTGATTTTTCATTGGAACAGATTTGAAGAAATTTAGCATTACATCACTTGCTGGCCAATGGATCCTCTGCAGTGAATGGGTGCTGTCAGAATGAGAGTTCAAACTGCTGATCAAAACATCACAATCAGAGCCATCCTTAGGGGGGGTGCTTGAGGGGGCCCCGCGGCGAACGGACCAAGGGGGGAATCAATTGTTCCTATGACGAAACAAACTTATTTACATCTTGGATGACCTGAGGGTGAACTATTCCTTTAAGGGAAATGCATTTCTCCTGATATTCGGCCATAATTGCAGTCTTGGTTTTGTTACAGCAGTCGGTATTAGATTTGTTTGTCAAGTCGTCAACTGTGTGGTCAGAAGAAGGAAGATCAGCCAAGATCAGACATATGATGAATGAGATCTCTTCATTATGTGTGTGTTTGGTCTGCTCCAGACTAATTTGAAATGGTAAACACACAAAGCAGACAGAGACCAATTGGGCACCCTTTCTGTGATTATGGCCTCAGTAATTATACTGGCGACAACCGTTTATCTTCATCTCATCTGTCGAGATCTGAATGAATTCCAACCTCTGCATTTTCCATAAATTTCCCCCATAATTGTTTTACCTCCAATTAGCCTTATACCAGCGACGTATCTATCCTTTGTCGATCTTGTATAATTGTGTTTGAAGTTGCATGAGAAAATGATGTTGAAAATAATGCTGCTGTATCATTTGGCCAAATTATACAGCATTTCTAATGGCAGAGCGAACACAACGGTGCTTAATTATGCCAAGGAGAGTCCAATTTCAAGCCTCACGCTGGTGACTAGAATACTCTCCGGCTGTATTTTTGTAAGGCCTGTTTGATCGCATCAGTGCCAAAGCAAATGTAATCACAGAATCGCAAATAGCTTCCCAGGAAACCTTACTTGCAGCCTTTTATGAGTTGTCTAATTCAATTTGCTGAGTCACTGAGTTCATGTGATATCTGAAAAAGAATTTATTCTTTGAGTTTTTCTCTGTCATGCTATCCACGTGGCTTTATTTGGTAACACTTTACAGTAAGGTTTTTGTTTATCCATTAGTTAACATCAACTAACTAAGATTAATAAATGCTGTAGAAGTACTGTTTATTGTTAGGTTATGTTAGCAAATGTAATATTAACAAATGAAACCTTTTTTTAAAGAATGTAAATGTTTTTTTCCCATTGTAGAATACAAATGGTATTATACAATGGGGAAAAAACATTTAAACATTTGTTCTTTTCTAAATATGTGCTTTATGAGCTCAGCAGGGTTTTTTGCTGACTTTGCTGAGTCACAACGGCCAACGAATGCTTTTGTTTATGTGATAGTTATGTCGGTTTACAGAGATGTGGTTGGAATTCAAATATCTGATGATGTCACTCACAAGGCCCTTTTTCGATCTCACGAATAGCTGTCCGCGCTTCTAGGTAATTAAATGAGATGCCTGCGGATTCTTTTAGTAATTAGTTCTGTCTTAAATCTCGTCCAAAGCTGCTGCCTCAACAGGCGAAAAGCTGCCAACATGCCACGATGACGTAAAAGAGGGCACCCAATAAGTCAGAGTGCAAACGTATTAATTGAATTCAGAAAATCACAACAAATTAGTGTGACCTGAAGGATTAGTTCATCCAAAAATGGCAATTGGGTCATCGTTAACTTGTCCTCATGTCATTCCAAACCTGTATGACTGAAAAGAAGATTTTTAGAATAATGTTCACGCTGTCTTTTTGAAAGCAAATAGGGTGACCAGAGGCTGTTAATTTCAAATAAAGCACAACAAAGCACCATAAAAGTAGTTCATTTGACTTAAACTATAAGATTGTAGCACAGCAATGTAGAGAAAATTTGAATAAAAGTATGACAATCTAAATTTTGGTCTCGTTTTCACAAAAATTAAATTATGCCTTGAAATATAATGCATGAACTGCTCAACATTTTGTCTACATGGATTTGTTTTTTTAATCTAACCACATTTTATTAGGGATGAGTCCATCAAACAAACGAGCGTTGAAATCATACGCGTTTGGTTGTCTGGCTGTCTCTGTGTTTGAGCCCACATCATTGGCAGGTCTCCAGTTCTCTGCATTAAAAAGCCGCCTCTCATACAGCGCAGCCCCCGTCTAACCCGAGGGCAGGATGAACGCGGGACCACACAGTCACTGTTAGCTGACAGACAACAGCTCACAGACGCTCTGATTCATGCCTATTTGCCTGCATTTGCACCGTGTTCTTGTGAATGACGTCTGCTGCGTTCACTGTCTGTGTCTCGCTGACATACACTCAGTTTTCAACATCATTTCACATCAATCTGTGTCATTTATGACACCAAAAATGTATGAATACCCTGTAGGATTCTTTAATATTTGTTCATCCTTTATATCTTCATATATTCATTTACATAGCTACAACATGTCAAGCTTGTCTTAAAGGGGCTTGTATGCTTTTGTAACTTTTTTTTTTTCATGAATATTTTCTCTTTGATACTTAGTTAAACTGGCTGTTTTTGCAACTGCATTTTAAAGACTATAATGTGTAAATTCAATATTTTGTGTTTTGATATGTACATGCATGCGCTTATGTTAATGTTCTTATGGCAGTGGTGTCATACATATGATGATTTCTAAATTACCTACACTACTGGTCAAAAGTTTTTTTTATGCTTTTGAACTAATAGCATTTATTTGATATGAAGTATGGTAAAAACATTCATGTTGTGAAATATTATTACAATTCAGAAGATCTGTTGTTTATATATATATATATAATAATATATAATTTATTATT